ATGATAAACATTGAATTAAACACGAAATTGTGAGATTGTGTAAAGAGTTGCCAGCTGCCTGGGATGTGTTGTGTATGCCACTGCTCTTTAATTCCAAATAACACACCCACTCCAGAAAAGAAACCTCAGAACACCCTCCCCCAGTTAATCTCTTCACATCACTTATTATTATTATTTAAAAAAAAAAATTCTGCTGGCCAACTTCTACAGATAAAAAATGTTGGGCTTGTTTGATTCTTTTATCTATTTTCACGTGTTTAAAATAATTTTATAAAATAATTTTTTAAACAGGCTTTGCAAACAGGGAATTTTTTTAAAATTATTTCAATTATTATTATTTTGAAAAAAATATTTAAAAAAGTGGTGTGAAAGGGTAAAATAATACTTCTCCGGTCCTTAATATAAGATCTATTTAACTAATTTGATTAGATTAATAAAATTAGGTAAGTTAGTTAATTATAAGAAATGTGACATATTTTTCTTAAAATACTATAATAATCTTCCTTAATATCTTTCCTCCCTCCTCTACTTGATTATGGTTGATGGGGTATCCATAGGAGTAATTTAGAAAAACTTGATAAATATGAGAAATAGATCTTATATTTAGAATTAAAATTAACCTAATAATTAAGTCTTATATTAAAGATTGGAGCAGTAGTTTGTTTAGTACAAAGCCACATAAACAAAATCATAAGTAAAAAAAAAAAAAACTAGAAAGGGCTCCCAGTGTTGTATCATTTCAGTTGGGCCACATGATTCGCCGTCCCCAAAATTACTTGGGCTGATTCTAAACCCAATGACCTGGACCTCCAAATGGATATTATGCGATATGTCAAATTGGCCAATCCAGTTATTAACTTCACTTTTATCCATTCTTAAAGACTTCTCTGGGCAGAATTTAAAAAGAACTGTGCATAGCCAACAAGTATGAATCCAAGTAAAAGAGATTTGGACATCTTAAACACCATGTCCTGGTTTCAATTCTTGGGACGGTGCGTATGAAAAAAATATTGTTACAAGAGGTCCCCACTACGGTGACAGTACTCCGAGAGATTAGTTTCTTACTATTCGGGTGGGAGGATACTTTGGGCAACCAAAAAATAAAAAAGGACTGCATAATGAATTGTGAGCCTCAAACAACGATGAGTTTATTTTGAATCTTCAAACAATAAAAGTCTACAATTAGCGCTGTCCAAACGAGGAATCTATGGAAGTTGAGGTGAGGTTATGAAGTACAGGCAAAATCTTCCATTTTGGAAGGTTTTATATGGTTTATATTGTTCTATTTCTATATCGAAAAAGTCACAGTCGTTACAATAAATTAACCTGAGACCATATGAATAACGTCAGAATTATATTATATCGGACAATGACCTTTTTTTTTGTTTTTGTTTTTTGGGGGGGGGGGGGTCAGATATACAAATGAACGGGAACCAATACAATGATTTCCGGTGGCAGAAGCAATAAGTAGGATAGGGCCAGATTGAGGAGTATGGATATGAAAACTAGATCCAACCAATACAACGGAGGCCCCGTGAAGCCCCACCTACGGTTCTCTCCATTGACTTGCCTAAACTTGTTTGTCTCACGTGAATAACATAATACCCACCTAAAGCCTCAGAGTTTATACTACTTCCGACTTAAGATCCATTTTGTACTTCAGTTTTTTTTATTATTATTAAAACTAATCTTATATTAAAAAGAAAAGACGTGGAGAAATAATTTTGCGTTGTGTTATATAAATATTTTAAGAAATATTTTGTTTAAAAGCAAAATATTTATTTTAAACTGATCCGAACAGCTATTTAGTGGCAGCAAGTTATGTTGTTTTGTGCTGATATGGTGAACTTTTCGTGGTGTTATCTTGTTGGTCACTGTTTATTTCTTAGGGAGAGGAAATAAAGCAACTAATTTAGTACTCTTTTAAATTTGATTCTAAATATAAAATTCTAATTTAATTTGTTTATCATATTTATTTATTTTTTAAAGTAGTTTTTATAGTAGTTACAAATGTTAAAAATTTCATTAAATAATAGTTCAAACTAATACACATAATTAGTAAGGATATTTAAAAAAAAATACCTGTACATTATAAATAACTAACTTAATAAAAAATTTTATTCTATTCAAATTAATTAATAAATTTTTATATTAAAAACTGAAAATAGTAGTAGAAACGAAAAGAATAATATTGACGACCCGAGGGGAATTCAAGTCGGCGTATTAAGGATGGAAACGGGGATGAGGGGTAAATGACGAGAGTAGCCCTGAAGAGCCCAAAAAATATCTGCCAAGTGACGGGACGTTTGGAGGTCACATCGTAGGAGAGGCGTGAGGTACGAATTATATTACGCTGAGGGAGACGGAGGAATTATGAACCCCCATTTCTTCAATGCCCAAAGTTCCGGTCCCAACTCCCAACGAATAATTACGGTGCCAATCATTCACACGCCGATGCCATTTATTTTTTTCACAGAAAATTTCAAAGAACAAAAAACAGAACTGACCACTGAATCGGCTGAGATAGTGATTCAAAAATCAATTCGTCAGACGAGAGTCAACTTGAGATCCAACCGGTTATATTAAAATAATATAATTTAATTAAAAATAACAAAATATAATAACATTAACAAACACTAATAATAAAATATAAGAAAATATGACAATAATTTGATTGTAACAATAACAAAATATAACAACATTGAGAATTTTGATCTTTATAATTCATTATTAATTAAAATTAATAATCATTGATATCAAAATTATCATTAAAATTCATTTAAATCTATAGAGATTGATATATTAGGAGCAGCATGAGAAAAAATAGAACTAATAACAATCTAATCTTTCAAACCGGTTTATTAACGATTCACACCAGTTTTTACCAGTTTTCACCAGTCCACATCGGTTTGACCGGTTCTTTACTGGTTCAAGTCCCTTCCGATTTAGTATCCAAACCGAACCGATCAACTAATCGGTTCACTGGTTTACTGATTGAACCGGCCGGTCTGAACCAGTTTTTTGTTCACTGAAAAATTCAGAGGCTCTACAAGTTCAAAATATACTTTCGGACTCAGAAAGATTTTATAAAAATACTTACAATCGCCTATTTAAATTCTCTTATTTTCTCCCAGTAATGAGATTTAAACTTATAAATTTATAGATTATAATCCACCTCTTATTAATTGAATTCTTATCAGTACACAGGGTGCCGTCTTAATTGCGTATGCTAGCTTCCTCTTCTTGAGTTAATTTACGACGAGTATCTCCCAAAACAAAAGGAAAAATAAGAAAAAACTTAAAAATACAAAAGATACTACTTTTAATTTTTAATAAAAGACCTTATTTGATTTTTATTTTGATCTTAAATATAAGATCTCAATCCATTTTATCTCTCATATTTATTTTTTTTCAAGATAATCCTTCTAATAATAATAGTTATAATCAATACACTTGATTAGTAAAGATATTTTAAAAAATAATAGTTATTTATTATAAATAATTAAATTAAATTATTTTTTAATCTATGTAAATTAATCAATTAGTTTTTTTTATTATCCGGTACTCCCTCCGTTCCTTATTATAAGAGACAAATAACCGAAATACGTTGATAAAAAAAACAGTTAAAATTAGTTAAGAACAATTAATATGTAAAAAGTATAATTTGTTTTCCAAAAATACCCTCATTAATAAGGAAAGAGAGTATGAGAGAGAACAATTAAAATATTAAAAGAAAGAGAAGTGGGAGGGAGCGAGAGTGTGAGTTGGCGATAATAAATATGGGTAAAATAGAAAATCAAAACAAAAAAGTAGAGACAACTTTTAAGTATCTCTTATATATAAAAACATACCATAAGCATCAAATGTCTCTTATAATAAGGAACGGAGGGAGTATTAAATTTGGATTGTTGAATTTTAATTGGGTTAATTCGGGCCAGGTGGGCCCGTTTTGGTAAAGGTCAAACTCCGTATACATCAGACAGGACAACTGAGATAGCGAAGATCAAAGGCGTCCCCCAGCTGCGTGTTTCCCGGTTGCTGCCACGAACCTTCTAGGAGCCCATCTCCCTTGTCTCTGCACAGGCTATTCCTCTCCCTTTCTCATTTTTTCTGCATTCATCATTTTCATATCTCTTTTTAATTTCCTTCTTCAAACCTCTAATTACATCATTCATTACTACTAATCTATAATATTCTGTTAGACTTAATCTCCTGGTTAAAAATACTGTGTTTGCATCGAGCTAGGTTTACAGTCTCTATCTTAAAATTTTCAGTCTCCCAAACAAACAGACTAATAGCTAGTCCGTCGAATTCCACTTCGTTCATGTATTTTAATCAGTTTAATACTCTTATTTTATCAGACTGTTTACTTGTCTTCTTACATGGACAAGTTTGGGTTGAACAAAAAATTTGTTAATTTTTATTTCTTACAGGATTTTTTTGACAAAATAAAGAACTTCACCTCCCCTCACCATTCTTCATTATTTAGAAAAATCAAAAGAGAATGATCTCATATCATCGTTCTCCATCCTAATTATATTGAAGAAATTTAAATAAACAAGTCTCTCTAATAATTTACAAGCACCTGTGAATAAATCAGATCATCATCTATATGCTTTGTGATCTCTCATCTGCACAAGCAGTTAGCTGTCGTTTATTCGTCGTCGTCTCAATAATAAATGAAGCATTCAAAACTGGCGAGTGGTGGTGGGTTAATTTCCTTTTCAATGTCCCCAATGGGAGTGTTTGTTTGGGAATTAAACTGTTTTCTTTAATTCATGGCGCCTCCATTTTCTTCCTTCCCCGAAATAACGAATTTTTGTCATTATATTCTCCAGGCTACACATGATTTCTGGTCACAAATGCTTTCTTTTATGCACACGACAGACATTTATTCTTGTATGGATCGACGAACCATGTCATCCACAAGAAATTGTTCCAGTTTCTTATATATTCTTCAACAAATTTGTGTCCCATAGTTTTCTTTATTCAGGTCAATAAAACAAATTTGTGTCCCATAGTTTCTTAATTTGCTGCAATAGTCAAACCAAACACAGCCACTAAACTAATAAGGGTTCTCCATTAATTCCCCTCTCTTTTTCTGGAGTTACTTTACACACAGACATATGTATACATTCATATCACTGCATATAGTCTGCATAGACTCCTGATGAAGTGACTACATGCAAACACACACACACACACACATATATTATATGTGCTGCGTAGCTACAAATTAAAGTAACCTAAGTTTAAATTCAATGCCCTAACGGTTGTGCAATCAATTAATAAAAGATCTGGTGCTGCACGGAGCATGGTTCTTCAAAATATTCCCAGCTTTTAAGTGGGGCGATTAAATCATGAAGCCTCTGATACACTCTTGTGGTTTCCACACCAACTCTTGAAATTTTCACCTGCAAAACACACATCGAAATGAAGTGACATTCCATCACTATTAAAGCCATGAAAGAGAAAGCAAATTAATGAGTTTTGAAATGTGAAGTGCCTTGTCAGCCCTTGGATGCGATGATCCTCAGGCAATCATTGGTGCAGGTTCTAATAGAGTTTAAGTAATTACCTGGGCATGAACCGTGTGGAATATCTTATCACCCACAGTAGAAAAGCTTGCACTCACAACTTCTGCTCCTTCTTCTTCAAGGACGCTGATTACTTCATATAGCATGAAGTTTCGGTTCAGCCCACTGATCAGCATCACTTCTATGCTGGAACCTAAGTCTCTGAGCTCAAGCAGTGGCAGATTGGAAGCCATGAACATGTTCTCCATTCCCTGGTTACGGTTTGTTTCCTTTAATTTCATGGCTTCCTCCTTCTTCCCCTTCAGCTTCTCCAGTTTCTCCCTCAGATTCTTTATGTAGCTCGCTGCTATGTCCAGCTGGTCTTGCTGCGATATCATGTCCTGTAATGGAATTCATTCGCTGATTAACACTATATGCACAGAATTTCACAGTGTGTGTGTGTGTGGAGATGAAAAGGGGGGAGAGATATGGAGGATGTATGGATCGGACCTTGGTGTGTTTTAAGTAGTGGGGAGGAATAAGGGAAGCGAGCTTGAAGCAAAGCGCTTTCATGTGAATTCTGCGATTCCTTTCTATGGTTTTGCGATCCACTTTTGAGGATGAGTCACTGCTTGTTTTCTTCATTTTTTTTTCAGGATGTGAGAGAGGAATATTTCTCTGTCTTCCTGATCGAGTTTCTGAGATGCAGGAGCAATTTGAGAATCGTTCTCCAGACTTGGCAAGAGGAGTCGTTTTTATAATAAGAGGGAGGGAGGAGCAGGGGTGGTGAATGACCGAAAAGCCCATGACACCGACAAATAAAAGTATTTCAACATCTACACATATTTTCCTGCAGAGGGCATAAAATACATCGCGACAATAATTTTTGATTATCTGATGGGAAGTATCACAAAGATATCACTTGTTATTTGTTTATCAACCGTAGTCAATAATTATTAAAGCAAAGGAAAAAAACTGATTTAAAATTTTAAAATTCAAATAGTGTTTTTGTGAGATTTTTCCTTATTTGATCCCTGACACTTCTCCTTAATTTTGAAAAGAATAATGTTTGCAAATAAAACTGATTTATTATAAAAAGTCTCATCTGAGTCAAAGAAATAGGAAATGGTTTTAAAAAAAAAAGACTTAGATCAGAGTGAAAAGGCGAATTTTTTATTTATTTATAAGTTTCTCAAAGATGAATCAGCCTAGCATCTTGTTACCTTATTATTTTATTTGAATGAACAGTAGAAATCATTTTCAGGTGGGGGCGCATTCCTAAGTTTTACATAAACAGGATTATTAGCTGAATTATTCCAAGAGACGGAAAAGAAAGAATAAGTTCACGTGAATTTTAGAGAAAACAAATCCACGTCAAGGAATTGGGGACCCACTTTCTTGGTAAGACTCGTGGACGTAGAATAAGTAAGGAAGGCAGGGGGGAGAGAGAGAGAGAGAGGGGAAGAGAGGATAGAGAACGTAGTTTTGTCGTTTGTGAGAAGAGGCAAAGGAGGTTTTATGAAAACATTTTTTTTTTAAAAAAATAATAATAAGGGAAAATGAGGCTTAATTAGCTGACTATTGACCTGCATTTCGTTTTGACCGTTGGATATATATAATACGCATTGAGTTGTAAGAAAAGCGCGCCTTCATGCACCGACCATTTACTTTGTTTCTTTAACAAGACCATATGACTTGTGTCCCACTGTTGAATGAACCCATTCTTATTAATTTAAGCCACCACCAACGTAACTTAACATGATGTCAATATAATGCTCACTCTTCTCCTTCATTCATTTTGTTCGCCAACTCAGCTCTTCATTATCTGCCTAAGTCCACCCATCAACCCCCTTTAACTAGCTTCTTCTTCTTCTTCTTCTTTAACATCAATAATTATATTTGAATCTGCGTTTTCTTCCTTGCTCCCAATACACCCTTTTGTTCTTTTGATTTCATCAACGCTTGACCTTTTCATCTATGTATACACACACAAATTTAACTCTTCAACTATATGCCATGATGTCTTTCGTGGTGTGATCATGAAAGTTTTGGTAATGGGGCGCGTAATTTGACATTTTTATGATAAAACAAGAATCTAAACTAACTTCAACCTCTGTGTGTGTGTGTGTGTGTGATCACACGCTAATTGAATTCAAATTAAAGGACGAAGACAGGAACATAACATGTAATTAATATATGGTCTAATTGGTAGATCAAGAAGGAAATTGGCCGGCATCGATGGTATTAACTAATTAAATAGGATATGAAAGCATTTATTCATGGAAATGTAGGAATTGTGCACGCAATTTTGCTTTCAAAATTTAAATTTTGAACGACAAACTGGGTTGGAGACTGAAAATTCAAATCGGTCATTCTCAATTTAGTCACATTTAAATTAATAAAAAAAATAAACCGTCCTTCTGTACTACGATTTCTTATTATGTGTATAATTGGGTGACCGATTATTATCATCATTATTACTATGAGTGAACTAAAATAGGCAATTTCAATAACGTATAGCCATTTTGGTTCATATCCATAATTTTTTATTATTTTTGTTTTTCCTGTTCTTTAATATTTGTGAAAGGGTTTCATGTTCATTTTGGTTTTTTTCCCGGCCTTCTTGCCTCTTTTTAATTACATTAATATATATTAGGATTAATACAAATTTTTGTCCTTCAAATTTACTCTTATTTTAATTTTGGTTTCTCAAATTCCAAATTCTAGGTTTTGATCCCCAAATTTCTGTTCATTTAAAACATTAGTTTCTATAATCCAATAAAAATTTAGACAATTTTACTTTCTGAGAGACCAAAACCCGTGATTTGAAACTTAAATGATCAAAACTAAAATGAAGGCAAACTTGAAAAACCAAAAATTGCATTAACCCTCTATAATGATTGCAATTGATTTTGTCAAATGAAAACAGTAGTGCGTGATTCTCATTTCTCACATGATGGATACATAGAAAAGCTATGTTTTCACGTCTTCAAAATAAAAAGTTAACTTGAAAGTCGTATGAAACCGTATATACTTGAAAATTCGTTGGAAGAAGAGCACGGGATTGGACATTTAATTTAAAGGGTGTTTCTTTATGCATGGCCGATTCTTTTGTGACAGCTATTGTGAGTGAATTGATATCCATGTACAATTTAGGTATCTAAAATGAGTTCACATGCATAGGCTTTTTCGTCAACCTCTTTGTTGATAAATTTTTTATTATAAATGTGGTGTTACAGAACGAGAATTTTCTAATTTGCTTCTACTATTGTATATTCATATTCTTCTATTTATAGTTTGGTGGGTTTTTATCTGGCTACGGGATGTAGGCTGTTGTATCCTTTTATAAGGTGTCCGAAAATGCACGAAATCAACACAACCTAAAAATTAAGTAATTGGGTAACTTTTTAGCAATAACTTAATGATGTAAACAAGTCGCAAAAATATAAATGTGAGGCAGGGGAAGCTGCTTAGATTGTAATTGAAGGGAGACATCATTAAATTCAAAGTCTGCATACATTGGAGCATTCATGAACCACAACCTAAGATTATAGATCTGTCACTCACTCATCGAAACGGCATATCTTGTTTGAGTTGACAATAAGTTCACATGGCACCCATCATGGACATCCCCCCCTATCCCTATTTCGCCTTCCCCTTCACTTCTTATTAATTTCGAATTAAAGCTGCGATACCTCAATTGTATGAGTTCGTCTTTGCTACGTCTCTCTGAAAATAGAAGTGTGTGTGTGTGTGTCTATATATATATATATACATACTTTCTTTAATTTCTTTGTTTCGATTGATTTTTCGTCTTTCAATTAAAATTTATTTTATTAGTTTCGATGAATTTTACGAATGAGATCCAAAATTATGAACTTAAGAGGTAATAAAGGGTGAAATTACCAAAGAAAAAAAATCATGAACTGACAATTGCTTTAAACGTAATTGTGGCTGAAGTGTATCCGTCAATTGATTTTGAATGCACATACGCTTAATATTATGCTATTGTTGGTTAGAACATTGGTTTGCCAAACAATTAATAAGGTAGTGTTTGGCAGTTTTACTGTGATGCAGTAGTGGAGTCTGATATATAACTAAAAGCTTTATATATAACTATTGATTTTTTTTGACCTGGATATATATATCTATTGATCTGGGGATTAAGGATTGAACGACATAAATTAAATAGCAATATTACAAAATCCCCTCTCAACATTCTCATCTTCTTCCACTCTAAAACTTTTCAAAAGAACATGATTATAATCACTTGTATTATGTCAATTTTATAATAATTCTCAAATATCCAGTTTTCAAATCAAATTAATATTAACTGCTATTTGTCAGTTATACACGCTCATCGTCACTAACTTTAATTATATAGCAAAAAAGAAAACTGTGTAAAGAATAGATAAAATACTAATGAATTAAGGACATGTTGAAAAGATTAAAAAAACAAAAATTGACAGGTAAATGTATGAGCGTATGTTTGAAAACATGGGAGAAAATGCCTGCTGTTGATGAGCACATTAATTCCAGAAGGCTCATTTAATTGACATGATGCTAGAATGAAATAGAACTATATACCACTCTGCTCTATTTTATGATATCATTTTAATTAAATTGTATGGTTTAAAAAAATAATTAAAATTAGTTTAAAACAATAAATATGTAAAAATTAAAAAAAAAATTCAAGTATATTTTTACACAACAAGAAAGTAAATAAGAGAGAAAAATATAAGTAATGAGATAAATGTTGAAATATAATGTAGTGTGAGAAAAAAAAATAAAGAGAGAGAATAAAAAACTAATTAGGGATAAAATTAGTAAAAGAAACGCGTTTGAAGTTTAGAGACAACAAAGCAGGATCTTATAAAGAAAAAAAGACCAGACAAATACAAATTTTGAGATGTTAAGATATTTGTACATGTCAGATTCAGTAGAAGTAAGAGAAAATGAGGGGAGTAATTAAGTAGAGTAAGATGCAACATGGAAGTGTGAAACACGATCAGAGTGGCAGCTACTAAGGAGGTATTTGAATATAAATCAAATCATGATTTTAAAAGTATTTTTATAATATACATAGTAAATAGTAAATATGTAAAAAAAAATTTGTTTCGTTTGGTAAAAAACGCTTAAGAAAGGGCCATGTCTTTTGCTAAAACCCAGACAAGCAGTCGTGTGTGGTTGGGATTGCAGTGCACATTTCAACAACACCTCACATGCCTCGTCAACGCCCATTGTTCCCGGCCCCTCATCATCTCGCAGTTCACAATTTGGTATTTTCTTTTTACTTGTTTTTCCTGGAAACATTTTGTTCTTGTTGTTGCTATTTTCTAATTACACTTATTAATATATTGTCCTTCACTATCTGTCTTTTTTTTTTGTGGGTTTTTCCTTCATACCAAGATAGATAAAAATATATTTTGTAGAGGCTAGATTATATAAACATGACTTAGCATATACTAGTACTCGTATAAGAACTGAAAAGAGTTTTGATGAGTGGGATGGGGGACCATCATCCTGAGCGGCGCATGCCAGCGGGGGACCACTTCATTTGGATTTCGGGCCCCAAACTGACAGCATGGTGGTTGTCGTTGTGTAACATGCAAGGATTATGTACTCCTCCCAAGTACACCCCTAAATTAAACTATTTCACTAATTTAAATGAATTAAAATAATTTGTTAAATTAGTTATTTATAATAAATAAATCTTATT